TGTATTGCGAGTGGCAAGCAGATCAGGCAAATTGCTTGTTGACAATGGCATCGCTGTAGAGACGGGAATGTAAAGGAGAAGAGAGGGGAGGGAGCGACCGGGGCGTACAAGCCTGTAATGAGGATATCCGTGGAGGGGAGCATTGGAGGCCCCGGAGTCTTCGTATCAATGTTTAACCGGAGACGTTACATGTACATGTACACGTACGTGTCGTCGGATCTGATAGAAGAAAAGATTCCAATCCAACAAAATTAAATATTAATCGTTTCCTTAAAATTATGGCACGTATGCAAAATCCCCATACTATTCAAGTCATCACGTGGCTGAACTACGGTCATGGCATGCAGCAAGTGAGGAACATGACTCTGACGACCTCCTACAGGCTACAGTCATGGAACTCGTGATAATGACCATGAAGAGTCTGAGTGGTGCACTTCATGCTGACTTGATAACGGCCAGTGAATGGACAGGCGAAAGGGTGGCGGAGTCTTGAGTAGGTCAACCCTGCAGCGTTTCCCTGATTGCGTCCCGAACAAGTTCAGAACGGCCGCTCTCGACGCGTACGTGATATTTACCGCCGAAGCTCTGGCTAACTAGTGCAGACCTCTTGGGGTAACAATGCAGAACTCCGTAATTGCATCCGGTGAGGCGCATCTGCTGCAATGTCCAGCCACTCACTATTCTCACGCTGAGCGCTGGCGCTCCGTCCTCAAGACGCCCACCCGCACCACTGCTCGAGAGGTTCTAGCTCTGCGGGATACAGGCAGTCGCGCAGCTGCAGTACGACACCATTATGTGCTAGTAAAGTGCTACTGCACTGCTGGTCTGAGATATTAGAATGCCCTGCAAATACAGAAGAACATGCACGCAACCTCTAGTCTGGACAGCTAGCTGTTTGGACCATCCGTCTCATCAGCGATAAAATTAATAGACTGGATTTTGAAACTCTGATACTTTGTTCTGCAACGATAGAGTTTGCGTTTCAATTCTTGCAAATTACATTGTATTGAGTGAGGTAGATGTACGAACTGGGGAACGTGATTCCACAGGGTGCCAATCCGGTATAAAAATAGAGATGAGAGGGATCTTAGGAAACGGTGTGCTCCCTGAGAGGGATTTGCCATTATTATTGAACATTGCTGCAACTGATACACGCCGCAAGTCTGGTAGATCGGGCAGCAACACAGTTGTGGTGCATGGTACATCTACTTGTACACACGGAACAGAACTACAAGGACAATCAAGGCTTGTTTGCTGCTACTTCAACTTCAAGTTTCATGCTCTCGCAATCATCAGGCAACAGCTTCTTGTAGTTGTACATGTAAATGTGCATAAAATTTTACCATTATCATGTAGCGACGTCACACATAATGGTCCAGTGCCAGCGAGTTAAGAGGTGATACTTATGCAATTATTGGTCACTTTACCGCTCGTTTTCTGTTGATCGAGACAGTTGATATAATGTGGCCTGGGTACAACATTACATGTACATGTAGTTCAATCTTTCCATGTCCCTTTGCGAAGGTAAACGCTCTATTGCCAGTATTGGAAGTTCGGTGAAAGTTCAGGCTACATTAGATTCCTGCAATACAGAAGCGGATAAGTCGATCCAATTCAGTGACTCTCCCTCTCACTGCCGTGGAGTTTACTGTCATTGTACTTGCTGCAACCGTGTGGGGCCTAAGTAACGCAGTTAACGGATTGGACGACTATTACTCGGCAACTGACTGTGACTCTCACCATTTGGAGTATGCGTGTTTTACATTAGCTCCAACTGTTCTGCAGTTGAAGTTCTTTTCATATAAATACCTTCAAGTATTGTGATTTGAGACGGGTTTTCAAACTTCTCGGCATCACCCACCGACAGACACAGGAACGCATGGGCACACCTACATGTACAATACATGTACAAACGTTCAAGCCTCTGGGCCTGGCACAAGCCACTGTCATTGGCACAGGCAAAAAACTGGACTAGCCCCTTGGGCCAGTGAGGGCATGAATAGTCATCGAACGGAGCGTATAAGCAACCAGTATCTGGGCGTCAGGCAAGAATCCCTTTCAGATCTGATTGTTTGTTCGACATCTGGCCGAAACCGATACTGGCACCGGGTAATTGTTGCTTGCAATGGGCACATAGTAGTAGTACATGTGGGTATTGGGTTATATAATACCATGTACATGTACATGTACATGCTAGTACATACATGTAGGCATCATGTGGGTAGGTGGAGTACCAGTACTGGCTGGAACAAGCGCGTTGTTTAGGATACCGAGTGGACCTAGTTATACATGTACATTTGTATGTACATGTACATGTACTATGATGTAGCCCCAATCAGCAGATGAATGCATTTTGGTGACCATGAAACTCTCAGCTCAGTGGAAATATTCAAATATTAATTACTGAATGTCGAAATAATGAGTGTCGCAATAACAGTACTAAAATAGATAGCTCCCTGCAGTGACTGTTTACGTGTAGTGTACACACACGATAATCATCGCCCGGTGCATGCTGCTTCACTCTTCGCTGGGTGATGGATCCATCTGCATAATTATCTAGAAGACCCTTGACTAGTGGTTAGAGCGTGGGTGATTGCGGCACCTCTGCCAGTCTGCCTCCCCCTGCTCCTCCTACTTTGCGGTCTGTGGTGGTGAGGAGCAACCGTGGCAGGCGACTTATCACGCCGGAATCAGAGCCAGCTCCAACATTGAAGCTACATGTACTTTCAAATTCAACGGAAGCATCAGCAGCCACGGGAACGACAACAACAACAACTAATCAAGTTTTAGTCTTTCCAAATTCAGCCACTCCCTGTATTATCCTTGATGAGAAGGGAACGAAAACGTTCGATAACTTATGAGAAGTGCTTTGTAGACTGGATGTGTAAAATTGCGTGAATGCTTGTGAACCTACATGTACCTTCATTTGGAAATTGTTATCAGCCTCCGACCTCCTTTTTCTTCTACATGGCTTTTGCACAACGGTAATTTTTGCCCGCAAAAGAGGCTTAAAAAAGCAATTCCCAAAGGGTTTTGTACGAAAACGTGTTCGAATCATAATGTATCCATGGTTCTTTCTTCCCAATGTATTTCTCCTTTCCTTTTAGATTGTTGTCGCATCGTCTTCATTGCTTGACATTGTTTTATAAAGTAATCAGAATGTCACTTCAGCTCGTCCTCCTTGTTGCAACAAATACAATGCCCTTCATACAGCACTGTTTCGACCACTACGGTCTCATCAGTGTAGGTTGAGGATAACGAATAGCTAGAATAAATTTGAAAGCACAGTTTTACACATAGAATGAAAATGAAGAAGTGCGATCCCGCGCTTTGAGGTAATAGAGGTCGGCCAGAGTGCGCATGTGGTGGAGGTCGAATTGCTGCATTATTAATATTGCTAGTTTACTATGAGCTTATGTGCACATAGTAAAAGACAGCTTTCTTTTGTCTGGCGCTGTGCGAATGGACATCGTTCTCCTCTGCTGACTGATGTATTCCTGCCTTTGGACAATCAGATGCGAGGTGGCCAATCCAACCTCCTAGGCTAAAGTTTCTCCGTCGCCGTTCAGCGATCGGTACCCACACAGTGAGCTTCAACGGTGTGGTCCTCTGGACCGCACTTCGCAATCCAGCTTCTCTGATGTACCAGCCATTATCTATCAGCATCACGTCTCATTTTTCCCCGAGATGTTTTGATGCATAGTGATTATGACGCTCATCATTCGCTCCCTTGTCATTTTAGCGAATTCAAGTAAAGAAAACAACAACACAACAACATCATAATTATCTAGTATTATTGTCTCAATCGTCCTTGTCGTTGCATACTGTGCAGCCTGAACCATAACGGATGTTGTCATACATGTACTTCCTTTCGCCACGGCGGGCTTTTGTAGGTCTTGTACATGTACTTCTGTTTGGTCATCTCCTCTTCGCTCGCTGCTCTACAGTGGTGCCATTGTCATCAGGCCATTTGCCTGTTCTGCTTGCCACCCTAAATAAATACAAAATTAATACAATACAATAATAATGTGAATGCCAATCCCTCAAGACTCGGCACGTGAGGGCTAAAGCGCGCGCTGCGCGCAAAGAGTCAGTTGCAGGTACAAAATCATGGCACGAGAACAAACCCATTAATTATTTTCAATGGTGTGCAAATACTGTACTACTTGTGCCATTCATCTCGACGGTACTACAGTAGTCAGTAGTAATAATCAAGCACGGCCCTAGGCCAGGACCCGGTACCCAGGACTCCTGAATGCCCCGCCATCGAAGCGCCTTTCTGAAGGGATCGGATCACGTGCGCAATGATGGTCGCTGTAGATCGATGGTAGATAGGCTGGAGTGCGGCAATGACGTCCATACCAGAGCGAATCGCTCAGATGGCCCAGTAGTACAGAATGCCCGCGGACTCCGGAAACGCAGGCTAAGAGAACACCGGTGTGAATGTCGTCCTCCTTCGAGAGTCCTTGGCACGCCAACAAAAGCTGCATGCGAGTACGTGTACATACGTACATGCGTACATGTACGCAGCAGGCAACACACTGTAAAAATGACTACAAATAACAGTGGTGGTGATCCGTCTCCTTCAAAACGGCCCTGATCACTTGGCGTCGAGTTCAAGTCAGAGTTCAAAGGTTCCCTGGCGCTTACCGAGCAGGCTATAGCGTTCGCTGCGTTGCAAGAACGGGGTCCGGGTTAGCGCTTCAATGCTGCCGGAGCAGATGGCTAATCTGAGCTGACCACCAAAGTAGCACTGTAGGGACGTCACGAAACCAACAAACAATTGAAAAGTACGTGAAAACTGTCACATGCTGTATAATAGTGTTGGCTTGTCGAGTTCGATAAGTGATGGAAGCAAACACAAAACAGCGTCCTGTTCCTGCTTTGCCTACAATACATGAAGCTGAAGCCCGGAATTTAGGCTTTTAATTTTATCATTGAAAGTCTATAAAACTGTCGGGTGTGTTCTTTGCTTTTCATTCTCGTTCTACTCTCTTCAGGGTTCACCTCAGTTGGACGATAATCTGCTCATACTCGGGCAAGCATCGCATGCTGAGCTCTTCTCCACAGAGCGAACCATCGAGAAAAAAGAATTGGCCGCCAGCGCTGGCGACGACGCCACCCAGCGACAGAGGCAGCAGTCAGCCACTGCGGGAAAAGCTGTGGGTGACTTGGCCAAGGCAAAACACAGATCTAACGTAACGAGTTACTCCGACCAGTTCACCATGAAACCGGAAATGGAGACGCCTGACGATTGTCAATATGGGGTAGGCAGCGGCAGGGACATGTGTAGCGGAAGCAACGCTCGTCGTATCAAGCGCCCAATGAACTCGTTTCTGATGTGGGCCAAGGAAGCCAGGAAGCGAGTTAGCGACGAACACGCCGACTTGGACAACGCAGCAATCAGTGGCTTGCTTGGTCAGCTATGGAAGGAGCTGCCAGATAGCCAGAAAGAACCCTTCATACTCCGTGCTGATGACGTCCGACAGCAGCATCGTCACGATCACCCCAGCTACTACCGGCATCGCCAACGCAAGAAGCCGCTCACCAAGGACAAGATCGTCAACGAGAAAATTCATCAAGTCGTCCAGGTCGTCCTGGACTCGAAAGAATTCCCACCGCTCATGCAGGTTGGAGCAGAAGCGATGGGCAGCAACACCGGTGAGGCTGGCGCTGGCGAAACCTGGGACAAGTCAGCGCAATCGGACAACGCCAGAGTGACCTGCCCTGCCAGTAGAAGGTGAGAACTCTGCAATCGCTGTCACAACTGTCATGGTTTCCCTTTTCTCTCTAGCTCTTCTCTTGTACCTTCTTGCTATTATTCACTTAAACATGTAACTACTTGTCGATACTGTGCGTAGAGGCACCGACTCACTAAAATGTTTGGTACTTTGTCGGCTCATCATCTCAACACAGATTCTAAGGAGAACACAACTACTTATACGTACTAATGAGGAAGGAACTTAGAAAACATTATCCAAAGAGAGGTTTTGGTCACAACTGTCATACTTTGAAGTGCATGTACCATTATTATCACTGAGTCTGTTGTTGAGAGTGCACCATCCGGCACCTGTGCGCACTTACAACCTACCTGCATTGGTCATTGATTCGTCAAATTAAGGCAATCCCATAAATAGAAGTGCACAGGCTCCAGTCTCCTGTGTTAAATACAAGCAGTCACAGTGAGCCACTAGCAGTCTGTATGCTACTTACATAATTAGAAGGGTAGCATGGTGCGTTGCAACTTGCAACTGACGTGGATGCTGCTGTTTATAATGCTCCCCCACCATCCACCCTCTCCCCTCACCAAGCTCCTAACTCATATTCATAAGACGTAGGATGAGGGTTCGGGCTACACTGTTTTCCCTGGTAACGCATTGACGGCTCTTCATGATGAATGTGTGTGAGAGGGAGAGAGAGAGAGTGTGTGTGTGTGTGTGTGTGTGTGTGTGTGTGTGTGTGTGTGTGTGTGTGTGTGTGTGTGTGTGTGTGAGAGAGAGAGAGAGAGAGAGAATGTGGAATGGCAGTATGACGTCAGAGCTACTGGGACAAACTCATGTACTTCAGAAGTACCATCAAGGTCTGGGGCACCAAACTATATACCGGCACGTGGTCTAAATGTAGCATGTCTCTCCAGCACCTTCTGGAAAGCGTGGCTTTTTTTTGTCCTCCACGATGGTCTAGTATCATTTCAAAGTCAGGTGCATATGCCCAATATTGCCGAGTTTCTGAACGATTGGAGATATTTAATGGGCGCCAAACATTGAAAGCTCTCGGACGCACCACCGACAGTGAACTGTTCTTTTCTGGTTCAAAATTATAGAGCGGATACAAGTGAAACCTAGGCCCGCAATGTGTTGACAGAGCTGTACATGTATGAAAAGGTATATGGACATACGGGAACATGAATAGAGAAACCGGATAGATCAACCACTCAAATGTTGTGTTAAACTCGAAGCAACGGAAGAATTTGTACAGTGAAGGTTATACTGGCTACAGGCGACAATGTATTCTCAATCGTGCTTTGTCTCCATCGCTGTGTGTTATTTCTCCAGCAAGAAACTGGGTAGACGGCAGAAGAGCACAAGCGATAGTCGCGGCAGCAACAGTACAGCAAACAAGGGTGGCCGTAGAGGGAACAAGAACAAACGGCCCACAAACGCCTTCCTCCTCTGGGCGCAGTCCTCACGGCCGAAACTTGCCAAGAAGTTTGGCGAGCTGTCCAACTGGCAGATTAGCATGGTACTGGGGGAGCTGTGGAAGCAAGCACCGGTCGAGAGCAAATGCGGTTATCATAAACTGGCCGAGCAGCTGAGAAACGAGCACCGCGCCAGCAACCCGGAACTGTACCGTCATCCAGAGCGGCTCGCTGTCTGCAAGCTGGAGTCCGCTAAAGCGGAGAGCTCCCCCGGCGAGGACAAGATGACTGCCTTTGCTCTGCGCGTAAGCACAGCGTCGTGCAATGGCTCCTCATTGCGCAGCTCTGAATCGATGTACCTTAATTCTACGCCATCGGTCGCTGAGCCGGCAACGCTAGCGTTGTCTGCAGGTTCATCCATGTCATCAGCGTGCAGCACTATGAACACGTTGGCTTCACCGGCTTCATCCTCCGCAACAGCACTAGACTACCAACGGCTGCTGAGCGCTGACCTGCTAACCGATAGTGAACTATCTCACTGCCTGACGGACATCAGCGCCAGTGCAGTCGGCTCTGCTTCCCCGCTGGACGCACTCTTGCAGGCCGAGGATGTCAGCCACTTCCTGCAAGGCCTGGGCTCAGCGAAGTCAGAGAGCTCTCTTTTCTCCAGCAGCTCTTCGCCGATTCGACCCAGCGGAGGTATCGACGACACCGCTGTGCTCCTACCCGAGCCGATATGGTCGGCAGCACAGCTGACAAGCATAGCACCGTCTCTCTACGCCCAGTCCTACATGTGGCCAGACCTAGCCAACACACTGATGATGGACAGCTGGCATCCCAACACCAACCCGACCGCCCAGCACCTATGGTCCGCGCCGGCGATCCCTCAGGACATCACCATGGCCAATGGACTGCACTCTCCGTATCTCGGCTTCATGCCAGGACTGGCAAACCCAAGCACATTATCTACTGGCATGCAGCTACCCATTTTCAACTAAAAATCTCTCAACTACAATCCAGCTACACGCACACATGTTTCGTACAGCAGCAGCAGAATGGACTGCAAGTCCTCAGCGGAATCAAGCCATAGCTGTGCACTGGCGTTGCGTGAGAATCACGGTCCCATGGATTCTCGGCACCATTCTGTCTACGCAACATGTGGGCCGGCCGTAAAATTCACAACTGAACCTCAATCGCAGAAGAACTACAGAACACCAAAAATACTGGACTGGACTCTTGATCTAGACTCACTAATAACTGTCAATGCCTCTCGAACAGGTCAAAACGACAAAACTTCAAAGTGGACTTTCTTAGCTTTTTAGCAGTTTTTTTTTAATGAATTGTTCCCCAACAGTTGTGAAAATTCTTGCCGTGCATTCCACATTGTACTGTGCAGTTGAAACAGTTGACGTTGAATTTCCTTATGCATAACAACACTGCACTCGTTGTTGGCAGTCCAGCGTGTGCCACTATTTTCCTATCTAATTTCAGCCTGCCGACGATCGTACATGTACTGTGGAAGTCAACATAGCTTTTAACGGTTGTAATATTACTACTTTCTAGATCCCTGGTGTGGAGAGGGTGATTCCACAGCTTTGTCATGTGACTAAATCTGTGCAGAATGTGGACAGTGGCACCAACATGGCCGACATCATACGACCCATAGATACAGGGCTGGGTGGAGTTGGACCCAACATGGTTGTCCCGTGTGGTCATGTGATAGATGTAAAACCACTACTAGCATATTAATATTGCCTCAATCCAAGGTGCTGAGCAAAACAAATGCAAGCTGGTGGTGCCTGAACCTGTACACATGGCCAGTTATTCACTTCCTTGTTATTGAGCACCTCTGCTCGTTTGGTCACGGCAAATTAAAATAAAATCAACAACAACAACAACAACAACAACAACAACAACAACAACAACAACAACAACAACAACAACAACAACAACAACAACAACAACAACAACAACAACAACAACAACAACAGTGAAAAGGGGAAAGCGAAGGAAGGGTGCTCATGCCAGGTGAAGGGGCAGGGATACCAATGATAAAAAATAACATATCAGAGTCAGGATTATGTCACACTGAACAATAAAAAAGGCATTGGGTAAATTTTCCACTGGTTTGAGGGAAAGACGCATTGGGTAAAACAAAAAACTTGATAGCAACATTGCTAGTTGTACAGCGGGCGCGTCAAGAAGAGCAAACCAAAACCTCTGTGAAGAGGAGACTTTGAAATGTCACGAATGCCCATGTTGTAAGACGATGGCTGTGTATTGTTTTCCTGTGTGATGACATTCCCCAAACTGTCTCGTGTCATTGAGTGCCTCTGCACTATGAGCATGTGTGATTTGGCAGTCTTGAGTCTTGTCTTTTCAGTCTTCTTGTTTGGTTGCGGTCACTGCTTTTCGTCATGTCTTAGTTCGAGTCCCAACGTAGTATGTGAATGATAACAATGTGGGAAAGCAAACACATACTTAACCTTTGTGTTCCAGCATCAGGCGCACAGAACGACTGTGACTCTGTTATTGACTATATGAAATGCTGGTGTCCACATTCCTGTTATCCATTGAAGCTACACGACAAGGGAAAGTCCCAACTTGTACTAGTACGGTTCTGAATGATATGAGAGATGTCACGTTCTGGCCAGTGAATACGGCTGGACTTGCAGCCAGGCCGAAATGAGCCATTATAATTACTGGCGCAATGATGGTGATGACTGATGCGTTGGTCCAGGAGTCACCACACGATGATATGCATCTGACCTTACCGATGGATCATGAGAGGAGCTAAGTCTAAGTCGCGTCCTGAGTTTCTCGCTGCACCTCCTGTCCAATCTGGCATACCCTTATCTCCTCCATATGTGGGTTGCTGGGACCATGCTCGTACAGAGCCAGTTGAAGAGATTCCACAGCGTGTGGGCATACAGCGTGAAACCATCTTAACCCTTTCAGTGCCACGGGCGACTTTAGTCGCCCAAAATGAGTATGTGTGTACAAATAAATTCGTATCTCCACTTCTACACACAGGAGAGTTACAAACGACCACTCTACGTGTTCAGGAAGACCTTGGCTATCGACTCATCACATCGTTTTGTGTCCGTGAGGATAGATATCGCCAGGGCGAAGCTTGAAGCGTGCGCGCTCGGACAAACAAGTGTCGCCCGTAGAAAACATGACGTATGCGCGTCGCGGGTTTCTCTATTTCTTTCGCGGCAACCCATGCGTATTGGGTATCAAAACATCGAGATATTCAGCGGCTTTCAGGCCAACTTTGTCCGAATTCCGTGCGTTGAAAGTTGACTGCACTGCGATCGATCGCGCGCGTGAGAAAGTGCAGATGCTACGAAAATGCAGAAAACGGACTTCGCTCAGGCGCCCTCGCGAGGAAGACTATTTTCGCTGCATTTTCTCTTCACAGCTGTCTGCCTGGCCACGATATCTTTCCAGAGAGCCATCGCTTGTAAAGATCCGTGGATATACAGCTGAGCTATGAAAAATTTGAGTTCAGCTCAACTCAGAAAAATTTGAATTTTTCTGACCCCCTTGGCACTGAAAGGGTTAAGCAGGTTCCCAGGCGGCTGTGAAACTCCTGCATTAAGCACCAACACTGACAGATGATGCACTGGCGGGTAGCTCAAGGAAACCCCACAGGATATAACGAGCACATGAAGAACGCCATCCAGAGTCACGTGACAGCTGCTAGGCCACTGAAGCGAGCAACGAACTCCGCCAGGCCGTGTACAGTGCTACTGGCGATCTTCTCAGCAGGTTCCATTGAGATGAACTGCTGGATGTTATTTACCTCGCCTAGTAAGCAGCGCAAACACAGGAGCAGACAGGCAGACACACACGTACATACGTACGCACACACATACACACGTACACACACACACACAGGCTCGTGTGCTGACATTGATACACCATACTGTCACACAATGACAGCCCAGTTGACCGAATGCCACAGCAAGGCACCAAGCTCCTAATTACCAGTGATTTTTAATGCTTACAAGCACAGTTGGCTTCAACAGGATACCTCTAGCTGTCAACGACGCAGTTGCAACTATCTTCCGAGCCCGCCGAGCCAAGGATCTGCCGCAGATGCAGTTGATCAATTGATCCATGCGCAGCAAGCAGTGGCTAAATAAGCCAAGGTGTATAAGTGGCGAAAGACGCCATACAGACATCATGGTACCTCTGATTGCCGATACTGGCGGCTATAAATCCTCCACGATTGCTAAGAAATCTGAGGAATTTGCACGCTTTTCGCCAAAAAAAAGTGTCCCCGTGAATGATATGGTCCTGGGAGATTACCCTCTGTCCGACCTGCCCATCTCTCAACCGATCACAACAACCTACCCCGGCTTAGTGCGTTGATCCCCCATGATCACTCAGCATACAGGTCTCTAAACAACTAGGTGTCCTTTGGTGAGAGGTGTCCTTTGTTGTGAGGTGTCCACTAAGAGAGGTTCCTCTGTGTACTTACAATCAGTTCTAATGGGTGCGTAGGACGGTGGAGGAGACATCCATCCACTGCCACTAGAAGTCTTGCTCCGCATGTGGCTGCGGTCACTAGCAAACTCGGCTAGGTATGACGCAGCAGGAACAACCCGAAAGATCCTACAACAGTACACAGAAACGGCATCGTGTTGTCAAGCAAAGGGCATACGCCTATGTGGGACATGAAAAAGTCAGTGACACCAAATCCCGGTTCAGGATATGCCCTCTGCTTGGATCAGTTCAAATCCTGACCAGTGGTGTGTGTGTGAGTGTGTACGTGTGTGTGTGGACGCACACGTGCACATGCACAGGTGTGAGCATACACAGGCGTATGCAGATGAAAGATACGGTCCATGCATCTGTCACCGTAGCAGTACCAATTATGCCCTGATAAACAAAATCCGATTTTTCCTTTCAATGCGTCGAACTACATTTTGTCGGCCTTGGCACTGAAAGGGTTAAACATGTACCTGTACGGACGGATTCATAAGAGTTATTATTATTTTGCTTGTTCGCGTTGGCATCAACCTGCATAAAGCAGGTATATAGCCTTCGCTTAAGCTGCCATAAAAAAAGAAAGCTCATCCTAAGCGAGAGGGCTAGAGGGAAATATAACGATAACGAGATACAGAATACAAAGAAATCCAATGAGTTCAACATACAATTCAAAACAAGAAAGAAAGGAAAGAAAAACAGAGCCGAATCTACCGATTGATCCATCAATCGACAAAGGGGACTAATCCGTTAATGTTGCAAAGTATTGTAGTTGCAGATCCCCAGGCCAGGGCCAGCATATTGCCGATTCTGGATAGGTCTCTGCAGCATTTGATGTGGTAATTATCATAATTGTTGATAAAATTGTTAGAGTATCTAGAGTATCTAGTGTGTTAGAGTATCTAGTGTAATTGTATCCGTTATTATTGTTAAGGGTATCTAGTGTAATTGTATAACTTCAGCCATTACACACAGCACACATTAGTTCCTTCCACTTTCGACGATCCTGGGCGAGCTGCCTCAGTGCAACTAGATCCTCGTGTGATGTGAGGGAGTTTGTGGATCTGGAATTTTTCAGGTCGTTGTTGATGGATCGCGGGAGGGTTGTTCTCGGGCGGCCTCGGAACCCTGAGCTTCCTGGCTGAAAGTATGCTGACATAGCCTGCTGGACCGGGGATGAGGTGTCTAGTCGAAGCATGTGGCCAAGCATTCTCCACCTAGCAGACTGGATGATTCTGCTGAGTGGCTTGGAGCCAGTGCGCCTGTACAGTGCTTCATTGCCTATTATACGGGGATATTTGACCTCTATGACTGCTCGTAACTGCTGGCGGTGGAACGAGTCAAGTTTCTTTTCTTGAGTCTCTGTCAGGCTCCATGTGCCGCAGTTATAAAGAAGTATTGAGAGAATAAAGCTGCTGTATAACCTAATCCGAAGGGGTTCACGGGCATGGTTACCTCTTAGCCATATCACCCACAGCTGATGTAAGGCACATGTTGCTAGACGTTTTCTCCGACTGATATCTTCCTCCACTCCAAGCATCGATCCTAGTTTGACCGTGTTCCGCCATCGCTCGTCTACTCTGTCCTTTTCTCTTTTAATTGTAGTATATTCGGTTTTGGCTTCATTCATTTTTAAATTGTATTCCGCTAACGAGGATGATAGTATGGGTTGATTGTCATGCAAATATTGTAGGCTGGTGCTGATGAAGTCTACGTCATCCGCATACGCTGTTTCATTGGGCAATTGAAGCTGAATATCCAATGCTGGTCGCGGTGAGAGTCGCTCTCGAATCAATCTCAATGCAGCCTCGAGGTAGACAGTAAACAGGACTGGCGATAGAGAATCACCTTGTGGGGTTCATAAGAGTACAGACAAAAAAAAGAGGTTCGCCTATATACCATAGTCTAGTTAATTTCTGACCAAGAGAGGCTGAATCAAAGGACAAACATTCGAGGAACGCAAATCTCAAAGAAAATACGCTCAGCTTTCACCGGTTCCAAAATTCAAATCGGTGGTCGTTTGGTAAAGTGTTGTTGCCCTGACTTCCTGTACATACAACTCAGAAGTGTTTCGTAAGCTTGGCAGGAACATAACGCTAATGCCTGAAAGAAACACGGATCTTTAACTCTCCTAACGTGCCTTTGCTGGTGGGCTGATCTACTCACCTCCCACCGCTTTAGGAGCTGCATCTGCGCCTTTGATCTTTGCATGGTGGTGGCGTTCCTACGGATGCTGAAAACTCACGTAACTGAGTCTCAAGCGAACCATGAATTTTTTTAACCGTAAACATCCAGTCCAAACACGTCTGATCAAAGATTACCTTACCTTCTGAACATCGGGTCAGCCACTTGCATGCCGAATGAGTCCCTCGCGTACCGCGCAAAGCCGCAGGGGAACGGCAAGCGTGTGTCCAGGTCGTACACAACGGCATGCTGGCCGGGCGGATGACATACGAACACGACATGATAGTCCTGGATAGATTGCGAGAGTTATATGTGTCGGCACATACACACACACACACACACACACACACACACACACACACACACACACACACACACAAATGCACATACACACACACACACACACACCGCCTTCGTCTTTGCCTGTTCCCGTCTGTCTCTGTTTTTCTGTGCCTGCTTCAGCAAAACATTGATCATCCAAACAATGACATACTGGCACAAATCCAGCCAAAGGATTCAGAAAATACTAGGGCTGAAACGAACTCCTGCTATCCACTTCAAATATGTGTTCGACGCGTGTTAACACATGCAGGCAAGTCTTCTCGACAAGAGATTTTCGTTGCCAATAACCTCCAGCAGGCTCTTCTAGGACGCCCTGCAATAGTCGCTTTGGATCTGCTGGATGTCAAGGCTGACATCTCCGAAGTCACGTCTTCATCGAGTGGTATTTGCGACACCGCGACAGCACTGCAACTTGCTGCAGCAGCATCCGGCTGCCGAAATTCCAGCAAACCCCAAGGCCAGCTGAGCCACGGGAGATTGAAGACCTGGTCCAGGCTGCCAGAGCGGCAGCTACATCCCCATCAACAACACCTGGTCCGGAGGAGCTGTGGCGAGGTGTGTGTGTGTGTGTGCTTCCCGCAGGAAAGTGGTTCTGCATGTTGGAGGGCTGTCACCAACAGTGACAGAAGAACGTTTCCGTGGCTACGTGACACAGAGTGCCAACAACCCAGGTGTCATTGTGCTCCACAAGTGTCACATGCAAGGTGCGAAACGTGAGAAGTCGACCGTGTTCGCTCGGCTCACTGTGAGCGCACCCACAGCTGCGGTGCTTCTTTCTCAGGGTTTCTGGCGAGGTCGCACATACTGTCGTCACTGGGTGTTTCATGCTGCAGAATCCAAGGCCTCACTGTCAGCCACAAGGGCAGGACGACGACTGACGACGCGTCCACAGACACTGAACACAGTTCCCAATGGTAGCGGCATTGGCCTGACGATCTCTTTATTATCATCATGACTTCTCCCCACGTCAGCTAACCAGTCATGTTCCTCACCTGCCCCAACAAGACTAAGAGTATTGTCTTTGGATTCCTTAACATCTGTAGTTTGCGCTACAAGGTCGACTTATTAAGTCCTCTGATCAGGGAACAAAACTGGGACATCATTGGAGCTGAAGAGACATGGCTAGATCCATCAGTTACGAGTGGTGAGGTGAGCATTGGTGGCTACAGTTTGTTCAGAATGACCACCGGGGCCACAAAGGAGGTGGTGTTTGTCTGTATTTTCGCTCATCCTTGCCCAGTAAGCCGAGACCAGACCTGAGCCAAGTGGACCTGGAAGCAGTCTGGGTTGAGTTAAACGGAAAAGACCATCGCCACTTAATTGGATGTGTGTATCGATCCCCAGATAAGCCAGCCTCTTACTGGACTGTGCCTTTAAATATAATTCAACAACTACCTCCCCCCCCCCCTTTCCTCCCTCCCTCCCTCCCTCCCTCTCTCTCTCTCTCTCTCTCTCTCTCTCTCTCTCTCTCTCTCTCTCTCTCTCTCTCTCTCTCTCTCTCTCTCTCTCTCTCTCTCTCTCTCTCTCTCTCTTTCTCTTCTGCGCATTTTTTCTCCATCTGCGCATAAAATCTAGACTGACAACCTGCTTGTTAATCATGCACCTGCTTTCAGGCGTAAAAACCCTGTTGTAGAGGTCTCAGTCCTCATTTGTTAGACTTACCTGTCTTTATAAATGTAACTTACTCTCTCTCTCTCTCCCTCTCTCTCTTTCTCTCTCTCTCTCTCTCTCTCTCTCTCTCTCTCTCTCTCTCTCTCTCTCTCTCTCTCTTCCAGTGAGTATAACCTTCTGTCGCCAGGGTAGTTACCGGTCATTAGCAAAGCATCGTGTGAATAACACAGGAGTGGAGTAAGCATTAAAGCTAAATGACCATATTTCCTAGGAGTAAGTTATTGAGCACAGTATAACACAGGTAGTGAATGATCCACCGTGCCATGCTCGAAGCACAAGCACTGCATCCACCGTGCCATGCTCGAAGCACAAGCACTGCATCCACCGTGCCATGCTCGAAGCACAAGCACGTCATCCACCGTGCCATGCTCGAAGCACACGCACTGCGAGTAAAGCCTTTGACAAGGTGAAGCATGCCACCCTCATCCAGGACTTGTTCAGCATCGGTATATCCGGCACAGCCCTGAAATGGTTTCGGGACCATCTGTCTGGGCGCCATCAACGCGTTCGTATGGGCTCCCGACTGGGCAGAACTGCACCGTGCACTTGTGGTGTGCCGCAGGGCTCTGTACTAGGACCCATGCTGTTCTCCATATACACCAGAGATGTCCCCTCTGAATCTGCGCCGGCATCATCACTGCAGTTTGCGGATGACATCGCCCTGACATGTGCAAGACGGACAGCGCAAGCGGTGTCTGATGCGCTCAGCTTGGCGGTTACCTCCCTCTCAAGTTGGCTGGACGCTCGTGGTCTTGTATTAATTGCAAAGAAGAGCAATGTATTGGTTTTTACCAGCAGCAGTGGGCAGCAGCCGGATGTGGTTGTACGCTGTCGAAATGATGTCCATCCGCACACCACCAGCGCGAAATACCTCGGCGTCTTAATCGATGAACGAATGGCCTGGCAACCGCAAGTTGATCGATGCATCTCACGCACTGCCATGAAGATCGGTAGTCTGTGGCGGGCGTGACGCTGCCTCACTCTAGCTAGTCGAAGCAAGTACTTCCTATCTGTCATCATGCCGGTTTGAGTATATGGATCGTCAGCATATGGCTCCGCTTGACCCACAACCAGCTAAACCGCTTGCAAGTGGCCCAAAACCGCGCAGCAAGGGCGGTGTTCGGACGACCACGATTTACCAGGGCCAGTGACCTCTTGGAGAGGCTCTCTGTATATCGCGTGGACGAGGTATATCGCCAGAAACTGCTCGTGCTGGTATGGTGGTGCGTTCCTAACCGTGCCAGTCCTGCTCTGCAGGCACTGTTTGTTCGCAACTGCGGAGCAACTCGCCTTCAGCGCAGTCTGGGCCTACAACAACCAATAGCCAGAAGCCGAGCAGGCCAATGCCGACCGGCATCTCGCGGTTGCCTGTTATGGAACCATATACCTGACACGGTGCGAGCCATGGGCAACATCCCAGCATTCCGCCGAGCTGCTATTCCTTACACGTTGTAGATTGCTACACAGTTGGCCATACCATGGTATTCAGTACCCACGAACTTTGCAAAGCCGATAATGTGATAATGTACCGTGGTGCATGCACCGATGGTACCACCACTTCGTAGACTGTCTCCCGTTCATTTCTGTGCTCCTGTCTTTATTCTCTTGAGTTTGTGTACTCGTTTCGCTGTTTGTTTGGTTTATTTGAATTCGCACAGTACACGTGTACTTCAGCTATTCTCTCCTCCCTCTTCTGAGTTTGACTCTCTGCTGGCCTTCTCTCCTCCCATCCCCGGCCTTACATCGTATTGGGCCTCGGCAGCCCCCCCCCCCCCCCCCACCACCACCACACGCACACACTACATTGTCATATAGCACAGCTCAACCATTCGCTACCCTGCTATTGAGCACTCCTGCTCGTTTGGTCTCGCGAATCCAAATAAAATCAAAAAAATCCACCGTGCCAGGTTCAATGCACACACACACACACACTGGATCCACAGTGCCAGCTCCAAATACCGAGTCCACGCCATACTACGGATACCAATTGTATCGTGTCAAGTTTTTTTCTCTTCTGAAGACTGATTAGGACTATCTTGTGGTCCAAAATGTTGATCGGGGTAGAAGACGTGTGCAGTATAGAGTGGTTTCAGATCTTTGTCATGTGACTAAATTTGTGTAGATAGTGATCATGTCATGTGGACAGTGGAACCAACATGGCCACCGACATCATGTGACCCGTACATGCAGGGGTTGAGTGAAGTTGGAACCAACATGGCTGCTGTGAATGGTCATGTGACAGATGGGAACCACTCTATTTACACCAACAATCACGTTACTAGCTGAAGTGATAGGAGTCTAAGACCTTACCCATACAACTAGTCCATTACGATCCTTGCCGGCGCGCTGCTGGAAGAGCGGGATCTGTAGGCAAACAGAGACAACAAGCGTGTGAGCGAAGGTGACACCCTTCAGAATCCACTCCGATACGCACACCAACCAGGCACATGCACCAAGCCAATACATGAGCTTAATACAAGTACGACTCGACTTCTTTTTTATCGACCATGCACTCTAAGCGGAACAAAAATACATAGCAACTTGTGCTGGCAATACATCATTCGAACAGCTTGCAAGGCTGATGAATTGACCGCAACTACTTCTAGCCTGATCTACACCACGCAGCTGGTTGAAGTGGCTTTTTCTGGCCAGAAAATCCCTATTTTTCATTTTTTTTATATAATTTGTTTACACACACACCACACCACATACTCTGGCGTACACTGCCTGTTGGTAACCACACAGGAGAACGAAAGAAGAGCTAGGAGAATAAGAAAGAGAAGAAAGATGTGTGCGACCATAATCGTCGGGAATTGAACCCGCAACCTCTCGATCGGAAATCAACTGCACATACCACTGCACCATACGGGACACACACACACGCACACACACACACATACACACACACACACACACACACACACACACACACACACACTGCGGCCCGTACCTTTCGAGCGGGATTGGATATAAACACCGCATAGGAAGAGCTCAGCAGCTCTGATCCTTGTTCCTTCAGGGATTGGCACAGCTTCCACACGTTCTCCTCGCTAAACCCAGTTTCAGAAAAGCAAAACAAAATTCTTCAAACGTAAATACAATTCAAAACTGCCAGTGAGAGTATGCATTGGAAGAGCCTTGCTAGATGATTTTTTTAGCTGTGCAGGCCAGGCGGGACTTTTGGAGCTCCGTAGCTTTTTCGCCTTTTTCGCAGCCCCTGGCAGCCCAGCCGGCATCAGGCCGGTCTGGAGGCTCGCAGTAGGTAGAATTAGGAGTAGTACTGCAGGATTTTTGATTTTGATTGATTTTATTTCACGCAGGAGGGGCAGGGCAGTGTAATGCTAGTGGGTCTTCCCGTCCTTTTTCACTCATTTCCACCGGCCGTCGGCGAGGTGACAGATGAATCGCTCCAACTCCTGTGCAGCCTTCCTGGCATCGAGAAACACGTCGTCAGCCTGATGCAGACCCTCATTGGTCATGTGGGCGAGAGCCTGCCTAACGTTTTCTATTTTAACGACAGATTTCTCCTCGTTAATTCGTTAGAATAGGCACTTTGTTATATATACGGCTTTTACAGTATATGCGAGTTCGGTATAAGTTGAGTCGACTGTACACTTATTGCTTATTGGACAATATTAGTGTAACTGTGCATGACCAGCTCTTCTGGCAGCCACATGAGTCTCTGGTTCGTAAGGCCTCTGCTGCAGTTGAACAGTTGTGGTGTCATGGACAATCACTCACAATCAGTGCAAGACGTACCTTTTTGTGGTATGCTGGCAACATCCAGTCGAAGCCAGCCTATGCATCAACATGTTATATACATGCCTACAATTTATAGTTACAAGTGGATCATGCAATCCTGGTGTCTTCCACATTCACTAACGAACGACAACGTCACCGGCCAGTTTGCCTCTTCAGCATATTTACCGCCTGAAAGTCGTAGCCTGTTTTTTTGCTGACCAAACGAATCTGCCAGTGTTTTTTTTGTTCTCTTTCAACAGTTATCCGTCCGTAAACGTGATGCCAATGTTCCGTCAGTACAGAGGATTATCGGCCCATCACCGGTGGCCCTTCCAAAAAAAGTACGCATAATTTTTTCTCCTACGACCATCCGGCCAACGTGTAATCCATTTCATGGCAGCTCTCTATGGAACTTTGTGCTTTCAGCCAATACCTGCATGCAGAGAATTATCAGCCTGAATGACTCAGTCTGCGGACGTCCTTACTCTACTGTGCGCATCAACAGAGCGCTTGTTTTCTTCACTCGGGCAACGATGAAGCATACGAGTAACCAGACCCGAACAACCCGTCCACCATTTCAACAACAACAAAAAAACACCCAGTCACAAGAGAACGACGTTAAAATCCGTTCATATTGTTCCTCTGTTGTCATGGTACAAGTGCACTCACTTTACTTCTCAGGGCAGCCGGAAGCACTTTTTGATTGGTCCAGTAGTTTCAGTGCCTTTCATACTTTGTGTATGGCCTCTCCATACTAGTAAATATAATTATGTCGGTGGCTAAAATGTTGGTCCGGTGATAACCTGACCAACCGGACCGGCTCCGGCGGCCCTGTTTCATCCTTCTTAATCATGCTCAATACTCCTCATGGTTGAAAGCGCACTCATACCACGAGAACAATGGAAATAATATGTTATGATTTGAACGTCGCTTTCTTGTCTCCTCGCCGACTTTTTAACTCCTCGTGGTTACTTGAAAGTTTTCATCGCTTTGAGAGAGCCAGCTCATGACTAGGGAGAAGGCGTCATTGCCTGTTGGCTTGACGAAGTGAAACACAGAATGCCATACCATGCCATACTAGCCTTTAAGATCTGTATTCAATACAATCAAGAGTACATAACCCCCAGAGGGTGCAACTCGACTATGGGTGCTGTCCCGACAGAATTTCAAGCTGACGTCATTTTTATGATGCAATGCGCACTGTACACGGATTATCAGACGAATCCGGAACCTGTGGTTGACCAAAGCCGATCTGATCCTGTACAAATTATTGCAAAGAAAAACGTGTGATGCGTTGACACCCGTACACACGTTGTAAATCACTGGTGCAAGGAGCATTGCGTCATAAAATAATGACGTCAACTTGAAATGCTATCGGGACAGCAGGGTATGTGGGAGTTGCACACTCCGGGGTGTTATGTACTCTTGCTCCAATCATAAGGGTCTGGATCACTTCTGACATACGTACATCACCGCAGTCAAACCTGTAACTGGTCATGATCTCTCTTACCAGTAGCATGCAGTATACACGCATGACTCTCTGGGTAACAGGCAGCAAACATCATCACTCCGACCAGCATCAGCCATAATAGTGAACAAGTGTCACAACGTGTCGAGATTTTAACATTACAAACGTGTAGTTGTAGGGACTCTGAGTTTCTTGATCGAAAAGCTGAGGCGGGCGAGAACAAGTGTCTCCGTCTCGACATACACGACAACAGACAGTACAATGTACACAACGAACAAAACTGCTCAGCTTCCCATTCATTTACTTCGGGGATCGATATCCTGGCCTGCTGCCCAGCAGAAAGTCAACTAATGGAAAAAGTAATCCAAAGTTGTTTCTGAGCCTGACAGAAAAATAATAATTTTAAATTTGACTGTGCGAAGCCCTCAAGGCCGCGCGTCCGTTGCAGAAAATGATGACGTCAAAATTATTGACTTTGCAAGGCGCTGCAGGCAGGCATAGTGGGATGGTCTAAGACCATGATTGAGAAACAGAGGGTACCAGGTTCAAGTCCTGCTTGGAAGCGGTAGGATTTTTCCAGCCGTGCTGCGACCCACAGTTAATTGGGAACTCGTGGCCTGGCACGAGGAAAATATGGATGCAGTGAATGGGATTTTCGGTCTTTGACCACTTGCTGGTGAGCTGATCTACTCACCTCCCACCGCTTTAGGAGCTGCATCTGCGCCTTGATCCTTGAAGGGTGGTGGCGTTCCTACGGATGCGGAAAACCCGGCTTCCAGCCGAGTCTCACGCGAACCGTGAATATATATATAATATATTTTTTTTTAAGGCGCTGCTTGTAGGCCATACACATGCACACACTGTTTGAGAACGGGTTTATTTCAAGAGCACCCTAGGACAGGTACGAGGTGGTTTGGCTTTTTTTAACATGGTTGTAAAATGACGTTTTTTCAGTCACTTCTAGACAAGCTACGTCCAAATGAATTGTTGCAAGTGGTAGTGCTATCCTTCATGCCCGTTGTGTCCAAAAATGGGAATGACCCCACTTTGGAAAGTGTCTTGAATCATGTCCTACTTTCACAGTGTTCTCAGGATTCAAATAATTGGGGTGTCATTTTTTAACAAATTTGTAAAATGGCATCACAAACTGGGATATTCGGTCATCAATGTTGTGAAGTTGATAGATATCACTTCAAGGATTGCTAGTGGATGAAAATTAATCTGTCAACAGAGGAGTGAACTGCATGCATGCTGCGAAAGCCGTGTTTTTGTATTTGTAACTAGTGGCTGTGTTATACGGTGGAATTGGATAGATAGCATAGCATCGCAGCGATGTTTTCGTTCTCACAGAGTGCATTCCGTGACCTACTGTTCTTTATTACTGTCTCTAGTGATGGCAAGACGACCTGAAGTCGTCCAAAGGCCCTGCGGAAGCAATTCACTGCCCTCCTCGTCCATTCAGGGGCTCATTTTACACATTTTACACAAAATGGCAAAGCACCCACCACTAGTTATACCAATCCATGAATTGAGAATAATAATAATAATAATAAAACGTGGCAGGGAGAATTAAATTATATGCACCAAATTTTCTGGTCAATATTGATCTACAATAAACTGGCTCCCATTTGCCACCACCCATGTTTCGATACAGCCATCCTGAGCAGAGAAACAGCCAGAAGAAAAGCAAATTTTACACATTTGTTAAAAAATGCCAAATGTTAAAAAAAGCCAAATCACCTCGTACCCTGCCACTCCCGCCAGAGATTATTCTTGGTTGATTGGTTGGTTTTGATTTCACTTCGCACATTCAAACGGCAGGGGCGTAGCAGCCGCTAGCCGGTACGGTCCGGCCTATAATTTGTTGGCATGGTAGTACTTTCCTGCCATAATTTCGACTTTCCTGCCATAATTTGAAAACAAAGGTTGGAATTTTTGAATTTTAACACAAAAAAATTTACCATATACATGTATGTACATCTGCCTTCGTGCTGAGGCACGTAGCCGCACCTGCACAAGGTCTCAAGTCTCGCTTGGACTTGTACTGCCACGACTCCACGAGCCTCCTCTCGATTTGGTTATTCCTCTCTTTCTTATTTAGCCGCTGACCGCTGGAACTCACGGTTCCGGCATCGGTCCGGCTTGCTGCTTCACCAAGTCAATTTCGTATCGCAACCCTAGATTGGCTAGCCTACCCCGTAAGGGCCATAGGTCTGTGGGGACTGCTCTAGAGAAATTTGAATAAATACTATACTACTACACTACATAAAGTACATGTATGGCAGGAAAGTCATAAATTATGGCAGGAAAGTAGAAGTGGCATGGTATTTTAGTGCTCAGCGTGTATTACTCTGGTTTACCGTTGGATTGAGAGGAGGTAGCTGCTATATTTCAAGCCCTGGATGGGCAGAGGTGAGTTTTCAATGTCAGTGTGCATGCCTAGAAGTGCCCTGCAATTGTCAAGGTACTAAGATAGCCAGTTTTCAATTCAAATTGTCCACCATTTTGAAAATATTACACATGCATATTCTGGCGAAGCACGGTCATTCTCACACAAGTTTGATAATTATAAAGTATGAATGCACACACGGATAGGAGTGTTTTAAAACAAACTGCATTCAATTTGGTCAACTAGAATTGAAGTTATGAGCAAGTGTATTTTCACAAAGTTGTTGAGTATTTTCTGAAAACTTTGAAGTGAGATACGATAGTGTTAGCGGCAGGGTTTGCAATGAATCTTTGGGCATAATTAAAGGCAATTTTTCTGCGTCGTTTAAAACAAACCGCAAGGTTCTAGGCCGTGTGGAACCGTCGTAGTGAGTGAAAGCAGTTTTGGGAAAACATGAAAAAAACTCTCAGAGAATCTTATGTACAAATAATCTACGTGGAGACGAGAGAGCTTGGAAGCTCAGGGCCCTACGCTATGCTTTTTTTGCCTTGATGACCTAGACAAAAAAAGCATGGGGATGTTATAAATTCTTTAAAAAAATCCTTTTTTTAAGACATATCCTGGGATTCGAACCCGCACTATCGCGCGCCATGCATGCATCCCCCGATACACTTGGCATACATACTAATTCTTCCAAGTTGCTTCACGTTATTTATTATTATTTATTTATTTATTACAGCATCTCATAGCACAGTGAGAACACCAGCCAATACAAAGAGAGAGGGTGTTAAGCGGGATTCACAGAAGCTTTTTTGCGATGCGACACGCGATGCGACAGACGCGAAACCGGGAAAACCCCAAATCGCAGCCATGTCGCACCCCACGCAACTGCCGCAACTGGGCCATCGCAGGCCATCGCAGAAGTTGAGCTTAGCTCAACTTTTGCGATGCGATGCGATGCGACAATCGATTTGGTGTACGATTTTGACCTTTTCTACAGCAAAGTTGTACAAAGGTGCAAGAGTTGCCTATAAATTTTTACAAGTTGTGTCAAACCGCGCGAATATCATGGTGACGTACCCAAATCAGCAAAACTTTGTCGCATCGCTGACTTCTTCTGTGAATGGTATTTCGCGAGTTCGCATCGCACGCATCCATCGCAGATCGCGTCGCATCGCGTGTCGCATCGCAAAAAAGCTTCTGTGAATCCCGCTTTAGCCAACCACGGCAAGGAAGGGAGAAGGGGAGGAAAAGAAAAAATGATCTTATGATCTTGCATTTGAAAGCCCTATTTGAATATGCATTGTGGCCAGCCGTCTTTGATGGTACGGTCCGGGATAGGTACGGGACAGGTACGATCGAGGGTAATACGACACCGTCTACCGCCTCAGTGATGATGGCAAAAAAAGCATAGGGATGTTATAAATTTTTCAATTCTCCTATTTTTTTTTTCAGGCATATCCTGGGATCGAACCCGCACTATCGCCCTACGAAGTACATGCATTCCCCCATACACTTCGCATTCATACCCATTCTTCCAAGTTGCTTCACGTTATGATCTTGCGTTTGA